GGCGGGGGCGGGAAGGGGAGGGGAGGGGGCGCGGTGGACAGACCTGGCAGAGGAACGCGCGCAACTCGGCTTTACGTGCGTCTGCTTGCGTGTGGGAAAGGGAGCGGCGCAACCGTGTAAGACCGCGCGAGGATTCTTTTGTTCCTCTCTGGCGGGCCGCTGCCGGCCACGGGGCGGTACCCGGCGCCGGGGCGGCGGGACACGACGACGACGACTTCGTCTTCCACAAAACGGTCAACATTTCCCCTGCGTGTGTTTGGAGACAGCAATAAAGCGGCGAGAAAATAGCCCCCCTTTTCCTCTGTTTTGCTGTCGAAACGACAACCTAGAGTAGGACGAACGGATCGCTGCGGTGGTGCGGCGGCCGATGGCGCAAATCTTATACCTCACTACTCGCCGTGCTTGCAGACGTGCCCGAGAGCCTCCGCGACATCGTCAAGGGCGTGGACTTCCCCGGGGACAGCGGCGTGGCGCCCGACGTGCCGCCGCCCTGGCTGGACCGGGCCAAGTTCGAGCGCGGCCAGGCGTTCGCGAGGAAGAACTTCTTCAGCCTGGCCTACGCCGAGGTGCTGTCGCTCATCATCAACTTCCTCTTCCCCGGCGAGCTGCAGCCGCTCATCTTCACGCAGCGCTCCTCCACCGTGTACACCTCGTACAGGCGCTACCTCGACACGGTGAGCATGTGCAGGCCGTTTACAAATTGCGTCATTGCTTCTGGGTTGGACCCCTGACTTTTACGGAACTCTGGCAACTTTATTGTGGTGTCTTTAATGAAATCAAAAGGCGGCAATTAAAATGACTTTTGTGAAATTAACTGTGTGAACGGCTCCTTGGAGGCTCGCTGGGAGGCGCGTCTCGTCTTGCAAAGCTATATGACTAATGATCGTGTCACTATCCTTGAGAGCAGGTGAACCGCGTCAAGACGTGGTACGAGGCGGACCCGTGGAAGGTGGGCTCCGTGGCGTACCAGAACATGGCGACGGTGCGGGGCTACCACCTGGACGCGTCGCGGAGGCTCACCCAGCTGGCGGAGACGGACCCGGACACGCTCCGGCTCAACACCACCTTCGGGCTGCACAGCGACCCGCCGCGCGTCTGGAGCGGGCCGATGGTGAGGAACTCACGACGAAAACCAAAGCTGACACTGATTTACAATTCAGATTGAATATGTTTCACCTACGACTTTTAGTTCCGGTGAAATGACACGTGGGAGAAATACCGCCATACCGCCACTACTTAAGTCCGCGTTTACCCGCGCCGTGCAAGTTAGGCGACGCTGACTCCGGAAAGAGTTTTATTCTTCACTAGGAAAAGTTGGCACTCGTTATTCTTAGGAATCGCTTAGAAAGTATCTCTACATTTCTCACATTCATACGAGCATACGGCAAATCACGACAGCTTGGCGCCTGCGAAACTTAGGGTAGGCCACCCCGCAGTACACGCATGCGCTAAAGGCAAGATATTGCCTACCTATTAGGCGGTATGAGACCTGACATTTGCTGAACTTGGCAATTTCTTTGGGGGAAATGACGGACGCACTTTCTGGATAAATCCAGAACCCGATAATTTAATTTAAAGAACGGGTTTATTCCTTGGCTCAAAATTGATCTTATGTTTTACGTCTCTTTTTTCCCCCTGCCATGACACACTGACGATGACGAGGCAGAAATCCTGCTCGGGTCGAAAGGCCACCTGTGTGCCAGTGTGCTAAATAACGCTCGTATGCAAATAATCCAAACGCGTAACGTAAAAGAATCAGCGGCCCGTCTCGTCACGGCAGTGACTGCATGCTGTACACGCGCCGGCCGGCCGCGTCGGGGGATAAGTTGGTCGGCAACGAGCCTTATTCCCGAGAGTGGACGAGCAGGCGCCTCTTAGCATAAAGTCCTTGCGCCGGGCGCCGCGTCGGGGACGCAGTCATGCGGTGGAGAGGCTTATCCAGGCAATTAAATGGGGTTGCGTCGGGTCGTGGATAGTAGGCAGTATTGTGCATACAACCAGGCACAGCGGGCGCAGTGCGCGGCCGCCGCGAGCCTCGAGCCGTTACGCTAGGACTAGAGAAGGTGGAGGGGGGAGACCCTCGCGCTGACCTATCCCAATACATCAGGGCTGCCGGCCCATTGGCCCGACCTGCGCCAACTCTAACGATATGCCGCTCTGCTCCCCGTCGACGATGACAGGTGGAGAGGCTGTGTGAGGACGCCAGGGCCGCGACGTGCCCGAGCGACTACGTCGACGCCGTCCTCAAGGACCGCGACGTCACCACGCGCGTGCACCTGAACCAGTTCGACATGTCGCTGACGCAGTTCGCCTTCTCCGGACTCCTCGTCACGTTCCCGGAGCGGTTCGGGCTGCACGGCAACCTGGAGCGCGAGCTGGACGCCTTCTGCCACGTGTGGGCCGCCCTGGGCTACACGCTCGGCATCGAGGACAAGTGAGTCCCCCCCAGCGTTACCTCCACTGGGAAAAGTATCCTCGTAAATTTACAACATTTTTGTTTAATTTTTAATTACAAGATATGTTCCAAATTTGCGACAGCCTATTCTTGCTTGTCGATCGTAAATACCAAGGGCTTGTACATTTCCAATTTCACACTGAAATTTTACGACCTACATAACATGGAAAATCTTTCCCGTTAACCTGCGACCATCTTTCACAGTGTCAGCTTACCGCAACCCCCCTCTCACTCACTCTCCGTCCGCAGGTACAACTTCAACCTGGGCGGGCTGGCGGTGACGCGGCAGCGCACCCGCGACGTCCTCGAGTACCTGGTGCGGCCCCGCCTGCGCACCGTGAATCGCGACTGGGAGCACATGCTGCGCGTGCTGTTCGAGGGCCTGGGGCTGTACGTGCCCGGCACCTCGTTCGACGCGAGCATGCTGTTCCTGATGGAGACGATGGGCGTGCCGGCGCCGCGGCTCAGCGCGCAGCTCAGCCGCAACTCGCGCCTCATCACCAGCACCATGGCCTTCTTCATGGAGGGCGTGATGCGCGTGCCGAGCGTGCGCACCTGGGCCAACCAGGAGCTGGCCAACAACCTCAGGCGCACCAACTCCAACAGCGTCTCGTCCCGCTACACGGACGGCATCAGGCGGCGGTCCTACCGCTACGAGTTCCTGCCCTTCCCCGGCCGCTACCAGTGCTCCTGAGCGAGCTCCTATGATGGGGCGGCGGCGGCAACCACTCGCCAGTTTGAAAGCGAGAACTTAGGGCCAGACATGATCTCGATAAGACACTTCCCCGTGCCAAGACCCCTGGCCTCTCCTTTCATTCATTGGTGAAGTGCGTTCTTTCTTCAGACTTTTTTAGTCATGTAAACCACCGAGGACAGTATTCGATGGCGTTCGGGTTCGGGTTCTTCTTCCATGCCACAAGACTGGACCGGACAGTTGCCGTGCTCCTGCGCCATCTTCGACGTATCCCTTTCCTTGTTCCTTCTCAATCTCTATCTCCCTTCCGTCCGAGTGAAGCGGCGGCCGACCGGACAAATAACGCCCGGCGGCGTCGCTGGGAGAGAGGAAGAGAGCGAGAGGGAGGGAGTGAGATAGGGAGATAGGGGGAGGAGGGACGGGAAGGGGCGGAGGGGTAGTGGCATGAAAATAAGCACTCTACGCGTTGCGCGTTGCCGCAGGACGCGGCTAAAGAGTACCTATGTGGACGTGGCGCGCCTCAGCCGCCGTTCGTCTTCCGAGCCATGATGAACCGTTGCAAAACGAACAGCAGCAGCGGCAGCAAGATCATCATGTCCTCTTGAATATTGTGATAAGGGAAACGATTGTTAAGATCACCAACTTAAAAAAAGGCGTCTCAACTAGAGGCTGATCAAGAAAACGTGTGGTCTTTAACAAATTGTGATAATTTTCTGAGTCCTGCCATTTTTGTATCTTTTGTAATTTTTTGTTTTTAATTGTCTAAGTTTTGTGTGTACAGTAAATTAAAGTTAAAAGCGGATTTGCCAAAACGTTTTCAGCGGACCTTGCAGCCCCCATCTCCGAGATGAACCCCTCGTGCGTAGGCAACCCATTCGACAGGGCCGCTCAGCGGGCGCACTCTTTGGGAGGCTCGTGCGAGGGGTCCCGGGGCTCGGAGCAGCACGCCCCCCGCTGCAGGCGGCTGCGGAACCTCCCCCAGAAGCTGGTCGACGTCGCCCTGGTGGGCGCCGGGGGGCCATCCGCCGCCCCACGCTGCCCTTCCAGGACGCCGACGCCACAGCCCAGCTCGTGGCCCAGAGGGCTCTTCTCGTCCTTCTCCGGGTCGGGCGCGGCCCCGGGTAGCGGCTCCCCCCGCAGCTCGTCGCCCTCGTGCCCCACGACGGCCGCGCCCCTCCGCGTCGTCGCCAGGCTGAGCTCGCTTACTGGAGCCCGGGCCGCGCGGGGAGGGTGTTAGGAGATGGCCACGGACGGAGGTCCTCCCCCACTCTCTAGTACTCACCGTGCGACCTGTTGTGCTTTCCGAACACGCTGGGCGGCGGGGACCGGCCCAGGCGCGGCGCCCCAAAAATGAGCGAGGCCTGCAGCGCGCGCCGGGCGCTGGACGACACGATGGTGATCTCGCCCGCGTCGCCGACCTGCTGTGGCACCATTTAATACACCAGCGCAGGGACTCCAGGCCGCCGGGAGGACCGGGGGCTGCCATGACCATGACCTCCCTCACCTGGGGCTCCCCGCAGAAGCCGCGGCCCGCCCGCCTGAGCCTGTGCGTGGCGGGGTAGCAGGTCTCGCCACCAACGCCCTCGCACAGGGCCGCCAAACCCTCCTCCCCGTCGCACAGCAGCGACAAGCTGGCAGCTTTGGCCTTCTTGCACGTCTTACGCGGGTAGCCCTTCATGATCAGAGCGGCGGTCAGCGAGTCGTCATGGAGATGGCAACAACGGTGACGCCACCACGAAACCGAACGATAACCACGACGCGATGAGGGGTGAATAAAAGAGTACAGTGCGAGTATGATAAATGATCTTACTCTTGTTTATTAAGCAAACAGATCCTGCCTGCACATTCTACCACTGAAATGTTTCATCTTACAGCAAATAAGGGGTTCAATACTGAGAATTTATCAACATACAACAGACCACGTCAGAAGTAATTAAAACAAACCTTGCAAAAAGGTGCAATATGCAATGTACAACTATTTACAAGAAAATTGATCAAAAGCTTCATTGTACATCTAAAAAGAATCAACGACACTATGAAGAGATAAATAAGCCACGCTCACAAATATAATTTAATAATAGAGATTAATAAAAGTTGATAGAAGTTCATGGCGCAAACTCCTGATCAGTCTGTCTGAATTTTCACAGTTAGAAGGAATGACTAACAGCTGGGAATCAATTTCCATAAATTACAGGGAATGCTCCAATTTTCAGAATGTCATAATTACCCAATAACAGTAAAACTAACACGGTTACCCAACACAACAACATTACAACTAACAAATAAAAATTTTATACAACACAAAAATTATACAACTACTCTCAGTTCTTTCAAAATTAACAATCAAGAGAAAGAAAAAGGTAATTGATTTTTCCAGTTTAGACACCTTTAGGACTAACTAAAGTGCTTGACACTCCACACAAAATGATCAGTCTAAGTATCAATTTCACATAAAACACCAACATGCAAGACAAGAAAGGAATGAGAACGTTTTTAAATGGGCAAACAATGATTTGAGCTCTCCTCTTGAGATTAAAATTTTTAAGAAGGGGACATGAACACAGACACATGATACTTGAATGACTTGTTAAAAAAAATAATGTATAAAACGGAAAGTTTGTTCAGCGCACTTTGTTCCCAGATTCTACTTGCTGCACAATCCACTCATATGTTGACAGCACGTACTGTTGGGTGACGTTGACAGCCTCATGGGTCATCTTCTGAAGATTCTCAGGAGACCATTTTCCACTGTAAAATACAATAGAATTATGAGTCCAATGCTGCCAATATACAATTTCTTTACCCTTTCTAGTCAATACAAAAAATTCACCAAAAAATATAAAAACTTATTTTTAAAAAGGCAAACTGTAGTGACATGGTAGCAATTAATTTTCACAAATGGACTGTGGAAATTAGTTAAGGACAGCAAAAAAGTCAGACTTAAAGCCAACAGCAAACAGATTGCACCGTTAATAGAATTCATCAATAGCAAAAACACACTGCTCTGCACAAAAAAGTTGGACAGACAGACTTACTTGCTATCTAATCAACTCAAAGAACCTGGACTAGTATTTACTGCAGCAACTATAACTGTTGGGACCGAAGTCAGAAGTTAGAATATAAGGTCCTAGAGAATCAAGTTTACCAAATGACTAGGGATACTCACATGAAGATATTTTTGGCAGCATAATCCTGAGCAGACACAAATCCAACTTTGGTGTAGTGGGCAAAGTCAATAGCATATTGTTTGGTGGTATCTCCAGCAATGGCAGCATACTCTTTCACTTGACTGGTGAATTCAGGAGCTGTTGTAGAACACTGCAAATAAGAAAACATAACACAATGAAAATTAGACTTGATCAATAAATTAATTTGATTACAAGCACAAAAATTTATACATACCCAACCATCGAATTTAATCAGAACTTTGACAAGACCATTGTAACCAATGTAACCTAAGTCACGAAGTAACTCAAGATAAGGCTTGGAAACATCAACAGCAGTAGCATAGTAGATGGGGGCATTTTCCCGTGTCCACCTGATGGTAAATATACTTAGTTTAAGGGGCATACTCAATGGAATTACAATATAAAGTTTACGGAGTAAAGATGAACTTACACTACTCCTTTCTGTGTGTAGATTTTGGCTTGTTCTAAAGCAATGTTTCCATAGTGCAATGCACCAATGTCTTCAAGAACTCGACCGGTGGAGGATGCTGGAAAATATACAAGAAAACATTGATTGTATGACAAATATTTGTTCAAGAGGGTTGATAAAAATATGCATGCTGGACACTCACCTTTAAAACTACCATGAAGTTTAACGTCATACAAGACAGCGCCACCCACCATCAACAATACTAAGAAAGTGATAAGGGAAAGGTACGAACTCTTCTTGACAGCCATTTTAGCAGAGATTGACTGCAACACAAGAAACAGAATAACAGAATAAGAGTCACGAATATCCACATGTAACTAAAAACATAAGATGGCAATATACGAAGAAGACAAGTGAGCAATGAAACAGAAAACCGGAGGACTCGTGAACAACAAGGAGAACATAACCTACACACACAGAAATTGTCTCCTGAGAGGAGAGGTGAAGTGTTACCCTCTACAGATAACAACCTCCCACAGGTTCAAAATAAGAACTCTACACTAGTCACTGGACTCGGAATGCAAATCAAAACTTAGCGATCCCGTATTGATCATTAATTCGCAAAGTCAACTCACGTTTGATTCAGGAAAGAAATAATATGAAATGAGACGTACATGACAGAATTTACAATACAAGCAAGTGTTGGCAACCGACCTCAACAAGTACATTCACCGTTGATCAGATTCACTGAACCAAGTCAAACATTTTCACAGATACCTCCTTAAATAAAGTAAAAGTAAAAATGAATGACGTTCGGCAGAATATGCCTATGCGACTCCCGCCAAAACAAGCTGAGGGGTTGCAGAACAAAGACTTCAAACAGAACCCACCCCCTTCCCAAAGTAGACAAAGTCGCAGTACAAACTTGTATGTAAATCCAGAAAGCAGAGGTCAAGCCAATTTCACGGAAAACAGCAAGGTATGTAACGAACACAAAAGAAGTACGGCGGGGAACGGCACCGTTTAGTTTCCTAAATATTCACCTAGCAAGGGTTGATGAATGGCTACGTAACGATCCCTGTGGGTTTGCACGGGCGAAAGCGACACGCACTGCCAGCCGAACACCGAACCCAGCTGTCAGCAGCGTCAGCGAAAGGAGCCGAACACCGTGCCGAAGCCAACGAGGCGGCAACCGAGGAGCAGCGAGGGGTGAGGGGGAGGGAGGGGGGAGTGGAGGGGTGTTACCACATCACCGGGAGCTTCGTGTTATCACCGCCAGGTCGCGCGACCACCGTACGAAGTCCAAACCTCAGCGGCAGAGCGCCAGTTTTAAACGCCGGGGGGACCGGGGCTTGCAGGGGACATAGAGAGGGGGAAGGAGGGGGGAGGGGGGTGGAATGAGAAAGCACGACGGCGCAATCATTAGAAAGCGCGGTACATAATTAGAACCCATTTTCACGCATAGATTATCAAGGTTCGCACACCTGTGGGCTGGGCAGGGTGACAATCAGAGCTGACGGTTCGATGCCAACGGAGGCCACCACTACTGTAACCGCAGAGGAAAGAACAAGCTCATCTGATACGGCGCTGACTCGGTCTTCGCACGTGTAGACAGATTGTGAAGGGCAGGAGAGATGACAGACAGCCGCGAGGGGGGGTCGTCTCCCATTCTTTAGCCGGCCCCGCCGGCCTGACCAGACGGGGGAGATATCGCTTGGGGAAGGCCAACGAAGGTCGGGGAGAAGGCGAGGGACCGTACGTCCCGTACGTCTCACGTGACGCGTTCGTGACATGGAAATTAGCCCAACTGCGACAGACCGAACCCACCGGCCCAGCTGTGGTCCTCCCCTCGGAGTGCCGCCCGAGACGGACGGTACGACGGTACGACGCTTGTCGCAATTTTAAAACTTCCACCGCGAGTGCTCGCACTTGCACTTTAGCACGCATTAGCACCGATCTAGGTAGCCGGCTTGGGCAGGAGAAATGGGGAAAGACAATTTGGCGGAAGCAGGAGGAGACTGATGGGGATGGGACTAATCGAGATAAGTGGCCACTCTAGGGCATAGTAAAATTTGGTTTGGAGAGAGATTGTGATATATTTACCTGGCAGATTTTGCGGCAGTCTTCTAGACCTCTAATCTTGGGCTTCGAGTCTTGTAGTGAGGCGTTTGTCTTGACAGTGAAGTCTATGAATACCTTGAAGGACTTCTTAGCCAGTTTAGCCTTTGACGCATTCCATTTACTCTCTGAAAGCCAGGAAGCACACAAGGGTATTAGAAATTGAACTTGGCCATGAGAAAGAAAGTACCAGTAAATATGATGTAGTATTTACCAATATGCTGAAGAAGTGCAGCACTCTCCAAAATGTGTGTTGAGTATAACTGCTTCCAGGTAGAAAAACTCTGCTCATCCTCACAAACACAAAGGAATAAGAATTCCAAAATCTGCAAATGAATTTTAAGTAACACTTTAGGTGGAAAAAATTACTGATCGTCACTTGAGTGAAAACTGATAATTTTAATTTTCTTTACTAACCTCCTGCTTGTAAGCATCAGTATCAGCAAGAGACAATCTTTCCATGAGAGGTTTAAAGAAAAGATTCAGTTTAGCATCTGGAGTGGCATTAACAGCAATTTTCTAAGGAAAAAAAAATTGGTCAAACATTTATATAATGTATGGGTGGCAAAAATTGGCTTACTTAGATTGCCAAACTAACTGTCATTCTTCCTTACTCGTAATACTCGGGATTGGCGATACAGCGCATCAGTCACTTGATTTGACACAGGTGCATTTGGTCTTAAAATAGCGTCTAAGGCAGTGAGATACTCATTAACACTAAGAGCTGGACCTGCAGCATGTCTTCCAAGAAGCCGTGTTAAGTATTCCAAAACAAATTGGGAATAATTTCTCAGTTCTAGCACCGGGAGCATTACCTCTTGCCAAACTGAAATTGTGGATAGATCAAAATGACCAAAATAAGAGCCAGTTTTAAGATATAAAATTATGAGACAGAGCAAGCTTAATTTTCATGTACCTTTTAAGCCAACCGACAGATCTCTAAATCCAGCCTGGCCCATAGCCCACAAGATAGATAGCCAAATAGGTTTCCTATTTTTGTACGAATTTTGAAGGCTTAAACACTTTGGTACAGCCTCTACAGCTATTTTGGGGTAGGATGTGGCAATGAACTGCAATAATAATCGTGTTCCGACAGCATGTGATCCTAGAGGTGATTATTAACAAAAACTCAATAAACAAAACAACTTTAAAAGTGAAAAAGTTATGAAAAATAAAATGTAACAGTTTCATACCTTTGGTCATTTCTTGGGCGAGATTTGTCAAAAGTATCTCAAAATAGGTTTGCAAGTTACTCTCACCAGCCAGACCTAAAGCCTCCTGTAAAGCCGAACGAAGCGCTGATGGCATCAGACACAGAGGATACTCATGGTTCTTTGAAGAGAAGGTTGGATCACTTATTTCAACATTAATAATTGAATCCAAATAATTGTCAATGGTTCTCAACCATAACAATGGGGTGCGATCGAACTTGGCTTGAACAGAGGTGACCATTGCTTGGAATTCAGTAACATTGACCTGAAAAAATGGCATAATGCTTACTTAAAGAAAGTGGTCTTATTATTTTTTAAATCGAAAAAAAGTTCAATGCGAATCTGACTTACCCTGTTCAGTGCTGCATCCAGAGTCTTGGGTTTGCTTTCCTTGTTATCCTTTTCCTTTTCTTTGGATTTTTCACCACCCTTTGGCTGCTGCTGTTGTTGAGCCTTCTTCTGTTGTTGCTTCTTTGCATCATTTTCTTTGGATTTTGATTTCAAATCAGCATTAGGTTTCTTGATATCTGAGAACTCGGAATAAAGAGTTTTCACCTGAGACAATGGAACTGGAAATGAAGAAAAACAAGTTTTAGTGTCAAGAAAGAGTCATTGTCATTCTGCGCACTACATAGCACAAGGACCTTAATCTAAGAAACAGAGCTTGTAAACCAAAAGGAAAAATTTGAAGTTTGAAACAACTAAAAATATATGAGTGACCTCCTTTCAAAATGAAAGTGTGTTCAGTCAGGGGACAAAGAATACTGACCGCTAGTTGGCATAACACGGGTGAAATCAGTGTAAATACAAAAAATGAAATGTCAAAAGGTAACAAAAGCATTAAAATATTAATTCTGCCGGCCGGGTATTGATACTCACGCAAGTCTTCCACTTTCGGAGCATTCTCAACGAATTTCTTTTTCTCCGTTTTCGAGAGTTTCTTGTAAGTCCCATTGACGACTTTATCCTTTTTGTTCTTGGTCACAAGTTCCCATTGCGGTGTGGACATTTTTCTCACTTTAAACACAACAAAATTAGCCACAAGTATTCGTGTGTTGACGACGACGAATGTTTATCTATCAGCTGTCAGAGGCAGATGGCGACAGATGGAGCCACGTACGTTTCCACGTCAGCCGTACTTCTTTGGTCTGTTGGCTATGAGACACATCACATAACCAACATGTGATGTGAGTGGAAACGCTTGCAAGGTAATAAAGGATATAGTAACGTGTCCATACGCGAACTTTTCAATTAATTTTCACCAAAAATTCGCGATTTGCGATCCCCCGTGTACAAAACAGAGATATCTCGCTGAGCTCGCGTGTCGTCCGAATCGTCCGCAAGATGGCGCTGGCAGTCTCTGATCATATGGCGCTAACAGGCGCCAACCTTCAACCGGCGGCGGCGAAGGGGCGCCAAAGCAAGAGTCTGCCAAAGCGAGCCAAAGTCAGAGGCAAAGGGCCCTCCTCGTTCGCGTTGTGAGGCGAGCGGCATGATTTGGGAGAAACCCGAGGTCGGCGCACGGGGATGTCAAAACAACACAACGAACAAGCGCAGAGCATAGAGGGAAGAAGATCCGGCAGGCTGCAGCCGACTGGTTCAGAAGATTGCTCTCGTACCTCCACGGTGGAGGTCCTCCACCCTGGTTGTCGCACTTATTCGACACCACCGCTGCGAGAGAGAGTTTAGTTAGTTTAATGCAGGATATAATGGGGGGGGGAGTTTTTCCACTAGGGTCAGAGAGGATTTGCAAAAGATAGTTTGCATGTTTGCACCCTAAATTGGGTGTGAGTTTTCAAAAAAAAAAAATAATGAAAGTATAGAAGGTAAGGAGAGAGATAGGAGGATGTTGTGATAAAAGGTTGAGGTAGCGCCCGGTAGGTAGGCAGAGGCCTTTGTCCGTGATACAGCTGTCCTGGGCGGGTGGCCTAGCCTGAAGTTCGCAGGGGTCCACATGGTCCGGGAGGAGTTCATACATAGTCAGCTGGTCACTTGACGACGAAATGTCGTTTATGAGGTGGTTTTGTGAGATCGGACACGATTATACTCAACCCCGCCATCATTGTGTGTAGCGGCCCCGAAGAGACTGGGGCGCATTGGCGATGCAGGTCGACGGGCTCCCGCTCCGCTGATCACCTCCACCCATGAGGTGCACCTCATTGCCATGCCGGTGCTCGGGCTGCCGGCGACGTGTGCCCTGATGCCGCGCCCGGGGGGTTCCGCCTCCCCCGGCCCGACCGTGCTCGGCGCGTCCCATCGCGGCATCATGCAGATTCTCTATCGCCATGACATGAACGCTGCTGACCTGTGACCAACAAAGTGTCCCGCCGCGGGGGCCGGCTGCAGGTGACTGCAGGCGGCTGCCAGGCCGACAGGCGACGGGCCGAGGGAATTCTGATGGTCGATGGTCGGTGAGTGGCAACAGCCAGCAGCCCGCCGCGGTGAACGGCGCCTAGTTAGCACAGACGATCATCAAGGGGGTGGGGAGGTGGGGGATGTGGAGAGGGAGCGGGTCACCCCCTCTTCCCCCTCCCTATTGGAGGGGCTCAGGAGGAGCCCCCGCAAAAAGTTAGCTGATATGGGTCGGCGAAAATGATTATTTCCCTTTCTGCTATCAGTAGGAGGAAATGCTTCACGGTAAAAACAATGTCTGATTGTTTTTTTAGGCAAAAGGGAAAACTTGGAACGCAACACGTAGGCTTTTGAGAAAGTCTCCTCAGAAACTGTGAGACATTTCTACTGAGGAAAGCAATCCCAAACTATAGATGTTCCTCAAAGTTTTCCCCTTTCCCTTCAAAAAATCAGTCATTGTTTTCAACCGTGTGATATGACCATGGACACCCACATTGATGGGCCAGCAAGGATCATCCTCTACGAGCCCCCAAACTAGGATGGCAACAAAACGCAGGCGCGGACCCCAATCCCCCCTCATGGTCGCCGTCGCCGTTCGGTCGAATTACCCGAAACAACGCCTAGCGTAACGCATGACGCTGGACACAACGCGCGCCCCCATTGTGTGCGCTGTTCGCGGTATCGTCACTCGGAACATGCGAGGCGCTCGGGGCGCGATGTGCTGACCCATCGTATTAGATTACAAAAAAGTTTGCGAGAGAGGAGTGCGTGCCGTGCGCCTCGGGGACTGCAAGGCAGGACTGCGGCGGCCAAGGTCCGATACTCGGGCCCTTCTGCTGGCCATGCCCCTGCAATTCAAGGGTACCTAATCAGAGCTCACCCACGGGAGCTCGCGCTCCCGGGAGCAGACCCTCGCTCGAGTCCCTCCTCCCGGTAGCGTCAACTCCTTTTGGTCGGCGTGGGCGGTCTCGGCCTCCAACGAGGCCCCCGATGACCCCGCTGCGCGGCCCCACAGCCGATATGGAACAACGGGCGGCACTATTGACCCGCCCGTCACTGCGCCGTCAGGGCGGTGCGGGAGCTGTCAGCACGGAGAAGAGGACGCCACCGCCTCTTGTTCCCCGTCCAAGGATCGACAAGAAGGATCCAGGAGGAAGACAAGGGGGAGGACGGTGGCGGCAAGTGGCCCCTTCGGAAGACTAAACGGGGGAGGTCCGGGCCTGACTGAGGATGTGGCGGCGACGAGGGTCACCCTGGTGGAGGCGCCTCACGGACACCCGGAAGATCCACCGCGGCGTATTGGTGTGGCGTTTTTGGAGGGACCGGCCACCGACAGAGAAGACAGAAGAGCCAGGTGGATGGATGGGAGGATGTCGCAGCGCAGCGCGCACTCTCGTCACCAGCTCTTGGGTCAGCCCAGCGTCATCCCAGCGTGTCGGTCGCCTGTAACTGGTCGCGGGCCGGGGCCGGGGCCGGGCCGTGTCAACCGCACGCTCCGGGCGGGGCGGGGGCGGCGCGGGCCGCGGACACCGTCGCCATCACCCGGCGATTGCTCGCCCGCCCGGCGAGGACGCCGTGCGATGGTTTCGTTTTAGTGCGGGCCTTAAACCTCCGCACCTGCGCATGTGCGTGCGCGCTGTTCTTGTTGTTGTTGGTGGAGGTGTTCGAGAGCATCATCATGAATCAAGGTGGAACTGGAGGGATGGGGCGCCTCTATGTACAGTAGTTTTTGTGGCGGTCAGCCTCTCTCGACACGCGGGGACTCGCCGGCCGTTACTACTTAGAGAGTGACGTCACCAGCGTCACTACCACCCTGAGTATGTTCGGCGTTCCATATTTTCCTGTTGTTTGTGCAGCAGCCGTGCCCCGGCCGTGCCTCCCACGACTCGCCTCTCACCAGACAGACGGCGGCGGTGGTCCGGGGGCGGCGGCCCTGCCCCGCTGGCCCCGCGGCCCTTGCAGTGCGACTGGCCGCCATGTTCGTCCTCGAATTATTTGCCTCTCCATCCCTGCCCTCCCCCGCCCAGCTCAGCCCTGCACCCCCCGCTCCCCGCCCCCTTTCTCCGAACAGCAGTGCGCGAGTGCAGCAGCAGTGGCCCGGGAGCGGCCCGTCGAGGCACCTTGGCGTGGCGGCGCGTTGCGTCAGTTGTATTAGTAGAATGATGCCCCCGTGCGTTCTGAATGGTCTGACAGGTGTCTGCTACGCGCTACCGGCGACGGGAGGGGACGGGCACCAGTGACGCTACCGCTCACCATCCTCCGCCTCACTCCCCCGCCCCCTCCCCCCCCCCTTTTCCTTCTCTCACGCTCTGACCGAGGACCATTTGCCGCATCCAGCAAAGCACGCACACTTACACTATGTGTCGGATAATGTTGAACTATGTAGACAAATTTTATTAAAAAGTTAAATAAACTTCCGCTGACTATCCCTCTCTCGTTTGATGGTCTCCTCAGACGTATCACCCACACTTCGAAGTGACATGTAGCCTCGTTTGTTAGGGGATGCAATGCCGCCAGTGCATAATTAATTTCCGATTTTTGAAAAAACAAAAACAGGTCACTTAGTCTATAAACGACAAAAACCAAGCTCTCCTCCCTCGCCGGAATGGGGACCCCTTCAGCGTCGACATTGACCTCCATACATCGTGTCCTGGGCCCGGTGCGATATGTGTAACGCGTTCCCGTCGCCTTTCTTCTTTGTATCAAAGGCCCGGATCCCATGACGAATATTGTGCAATAACGAACTACTAGAGCGGCGGGCATGAGGCATCAGGCGGCCGCCCTCGCTCCTCCTCGCCAGGTGAGGTGTAAAGGAGGGAGGGGGGGGGGTAGCCCCGTCGTCCCTGGTGAGCCGCCTGAAAGGTAGATAATTTGTGCTGCAGCCCCCCTGGATGTAGACAACACACGGTTCTCCAACCCCCTGCCAGCCGGACCTTATACCGCGCCTGCTCCTCGCGCGGAATAGCGTTGGGGCCGGGCCGGGCCGGGCGGAGCGCCTGGACAACGACCGTCCCGTGGCGCTCGCGAGCGCGCCGGGCCGGCCTACCTGCGGCGCCTGGCGGCTCGGTCAAGTGGAGGTCGGGTCGCGGGAGCAGACGGTGCCAATGTCAGTGTGCCTGGGTCGCCTCGCCTTGCACTCTGCCGCCGCCGTCCGTAACGGTCCGTAGATACGTCCTTTATTGGACTGCGGTAAGGCGCCGCCGCCGATGTGGCGCCGCCGTCACGTCCGGACGCCCCCCGGGCTACACGGCAAACACCGCAACGCCCCGCACATGCACCGTGCTGGGCGCCCCTGGGACCCGCTCCGGCTCGCATTCCGACTCCGAAGTCATTCAAGCGGGTCGCGAGGCGCGCACAAAGAGGAGTGTGATATTGCGGGAGCTCTTTTCGAGCGACGGTCGTCATTCAAATAAGGCAATATGTTTCTAAAATCATCACTCAAGTGGAGCGACGAACAGCATGCGCCGCTCTTCGAGAGCGGCGCGCGTGACTCCTGCATTTTCAGTGAACAGCTGACGAGGAAGTCTCAACTCCCTATGGCTTTTGTGTCTGCTTACCCAGAGATTGGCCGAAGATTATCGTAGATTGCCAGGGTGCGGGGGTGGGTGCTCACCAGATTGCCGGAGTTGTGGCCCCCTCGACAGCTCACTGGGACTGCTGGCCTCTCTCCCGCGCTCGTATTGGCGCCTGTTGGAGTTCAGCCGCTGGACCGCACTCCGCAGCTCCCGACCGCCCGGAACTGCTGGAT